CAAAAAACCTGAGTTTGTACCCCCAAAAATACTCAGGGCAAAAAGAGCACACTTAGCAAAATTCTTTAAAATCGATTTTAGTAATCCCTTTCCCCCCGAACTCCCCCTCCCCCCCCCCCCCCCAACAACAATACAAACAACTGTCTTCAATATGGGCACTGATATCCTTTTGATCTGTATTATATTATCTCAGTGATATTCAATACCGATTAAGTGCAAAACTTGCAATGCTAAAAAATGGGGAAAGGAAAAACCGCAAAAAATAATGCAACCCGCTTCCCTAAATGCTGAAATGAAACATCTTGTATCTATATATTTAAGTACGGAACATGTAAATGGTAATTGAGAGAACAAAAATGTATCACCACAAACCAGGAAAAAAAGAGAATACAACAGATGAGCAGTGTGTAGCCAACAGGCGAACTTATTAGACAGAACGCCGAGTCAGAAAGGGAAGATTATCACTTGAGGTTGTAAATACAACATACAGTATAGAAATGATCTCATGCAGTAGAAACACAGAAGGAACAATAAGATCTCACAGGCAGCAACAGAGATATTTAAAACAAAACAAACAAACAAAAAAACCCCATACATATACTGCCATCATTTGAGCCCTGTTGGGTGCTATAAGTCTCAGGAGCAGAACAGTATATAAATATAAAATCGCAAAAGAAGCAGAACACAATTACATCAACAGAAGGCCCAACAACAAATAACAATTTTTGTATTATAATTAATTAACTTTTCGTAATTTCAGAACCAATATATTGAAGCAGGTATTTTTCAGGTTTGCAAATTTATCCATGAGCTGTTTTGCTGATGTACAAAACACTGCATTTTTTTCCAAACTAAAATAACACAGTGGAACGTGCAAAATCAAAAAAATTTGGAGACCTGAAAGATTGGCTTAAAGGTTATAAATAAAAGAACACTAAGAAACTCTCAACACTCTTCTTCAGAATCATCTAGGAGAAAATTCTTTAAATTCTGCACAATAGACCCCCCCCCCCCAAAAAAAAACCCAAACAGACTCCCAAGAAACTGGGTGGTAAACATCGCCACTCGTCGAGATGAGACAGCAAAGTGTTTAAGTCCCAACGTTAGATTATTTAGACTTTTTACCCCCGCCCTCTCATAAATGTCTCCTGTTCACATCGTATCATACAACAACACACCGTTATTGCTTTTATTTTATTTCTGATCTTAAACTCCATAGAAAACATCTCCTGAACTAAGTATACGTATATTATTCTAAGTTTGATTTCCTTTGATTTCCTTGAATTTCATTGTAGCCTTACCATTATTCCTCTTATTGAAAGCCTTTAGTACGGCACATAC